ATCCTTTATGATCTCATTTCTTTGCTGAAGAAAGGGAACTCACTGGAGTCACTAGGATGAGATTTGAAACACTTTTTGAACACGTGTAAGTAAAAATATGGGCTCATTCAAACTATTAAGCTGTTACTTTAAAAGTAACATAATTATGGTTCTTCTCCCTGGGCACTAAAGCGTTTTTAGTGGTGACCATGCACAAAGAGTACACTTCTTGTCTGAATGGGCCATTTTTCTTCCTTATATTTAGTAAGATTTTTGTTCCCACATGCAGGCATAATTTTGTATTGAGGCAGTTGAACTACTCAAGGACAGTAAATAAGTTATTACATATAACAACAAGTTAACTCTACTTGCTTTCAGAATTTCATTACCTGCTTTTATATCCTCATCAGGCTGTATTTCACGTTTACCAGCGAAACCATGCTTATCATTAAATGACCTGTGGTTATCTACTGCATCTGACAAAAAAAAAATTAGAGATTAGAGTAGTTAGATGATTTGACAACAAAATTCTGCCACGTGGCTTGCTTTTCATGGACTTCAAAGAAAAGAACATGGGCACTTTTAATGGAGTGGTGCTTACGTATAAAATGACAAAGAAACATTTTCTTTAATGACTAGGTCACTAAATAAAATAACTTTTCTTCCAAAATTGTGCTTATGATTTGTATCAGTCATGGACCCAGTCCTGCGCTACATACTTGTCAAAACTCTTACTGAATGCAATGGGAGTTGTACAAGAAATGTAAGTTTATACATTCATGCGTAATTTTGGTTAAGTGGTAAATCCTAAGGTCTGTACCATGCGTTTGTTTTTGCTACTCTTTCCCTTGTTTTTAGGGAGTGTTGCCAATGAGTTTGCTTATGAGTTTGCTTAAAAGTAAAACTGCAGCTAATTTATATAAATAACCTTCAAAAACTATCTTACATTCCCCTGGTGCCTCTTCTCTCCCCCTTGCAATGGGCATTTCCTTTATCAGTAAAAGCTGATCAATACGACCTGCAACAAAGGATGATGCCTATTACCCAGTCTTAGATAAATGGCACTTGGCAAGTACATTTCCCCAGAGTATCTTTTCCAATTCAGTCAGTTCTGCTTTGAGGCAAATATACTTACAGACATTTACAGAACCAGTAAACACATTTAAGATGCATTAATTTGTTTTCAAGTATCCTTAAGGGTAGTTAAAAAGAATGAAAACAGACATATTAATGGTCTTTACATGGAGAGTCTGAGTAAGTATCTGTAACAGTTGTCACATCATTGAGATTGGAAATAAGCAAACATTGGAAATGAGTATTATTAAGTTAGCAAGAAATAATGATAAAGGAGAGATATTTGAGATAGCTAAGTGCTACATTTCCAATCTTTTATAGATTGGGGTTCTCAGTCTTTGTAAACCAATGTGTGTCCTGATATTGTAAACACAGTGTGCATTAGATATTTTCCCCATAGTGAATTGTTAATACTTATAATCTCTGGTTTTGCATTTTATTGTTGTTTTATTTTGTTTTGCTTTTATTAAAAGTAGTATAATAAAGCCAGGTGAGAAATAGTGTAGTAAAACCAGGTGGCAAAGGCATTTTCAAATAGATTTAACCCTAAATCTGAAATACTTTCAATAGTGCCAGAATTTCACATTCTGTCATTCTTCCTGTCGACATCTAAAATGCCATAAAAAACTTGTAGCACTTCCCCACGGAAGATATTCTCTGATTCTCATCCATTTCAGGAGACAAAAGGTACAAATTTGTGGTAGTAACATATTCACTATGCAAAAACTACAGTGTAGTAGCACAAAGACTGACCAGATGCATCTGGCTCACAGCACAGCTCTGCTTTATGAGACCAGTTATTGTCTCAAATGACTTGATCCTATACAAGACATGTAATAAACAAACAAATATTCTCCCAAATGAATCTCTTCTGTCTTACAGATTTAGACAAAGTTACTAGTCAGACAAGTGGGTAGCATACTTTGGCAAACAGTGTTTTGCAAGAAAAAAAACTTTCGAGTTTAAGTGACAAAAAAATTGAGTGCTTGACTTACGTGGCCCAAGTAGGTAACCAGCACTATTCAAAGTCCAGCCTCTTTTTTCTTTTGCCTTAAAGAAAGAAAAAATGCAAGTAAGTGATTGGATGAACTACATGCTGCCTTCTGAAGATAAGAAAGCAAGCAGCACCCAACTGGGGGCAGAAATTGCCTTCTGAAGGCTTACAGCAAAAGAAATTTTGCAAAAATGAAAGGAAACACTATTGAAGCAGGTAGTACTGGTGGACTTTTGGCCCCCTCCCAATCTAGCTGGTAGTTTTGCTATTTGCACTCTATATAAGTGAAACTGCAAATTGTATTTTGGAAGTAGTAATTTTAACTTTCTGCTCAGTGCGTATCACTTGCTGATAATCATCCTAGCAAATAGCAGTATTTTCCTCTTTAATACCTGTTTGGACTTGCATAGCAGCCTTTGCTTTTTTAGGTAAAGGTCCATATATTCACCACCTTTTTTGAGTCAGATGAGAACATCCATTGAATTCTACTCTACAGACCAGACCCTCTTCCCCCCCAAGAGGACTAGCATTCAAAAGTCTCATATTCTTTATTAATATTAGTAATGTTATTCTCATATTCTTAGTTAAAAGCCTGTTTATTGCCCAAAGTGCTTTTGAGCAGCACACTTCATTAACTCCGATGTCTCAACCGACCGTGTCTTGCTGCAGGGTTTACTGTCACTTGTCAGCAAAGACCTGGATTCTGCCCGACGGAAAGCCCCCCCCGCCAGTGAAATCAGTACTTACTGACAAAACCAGTCCAAACGTTTCCGACAGGGCGGCGCAAAGGATTAAAGAGAGAAACAGGAAACTAGTGCCCCTCTGCATCTGAAAAGAGACGCTACGGTAAGGCCGGATCCCGCCGGGGAGGAGCGGGGCAGCGGCGGCGGCGAGCTCGGGACGGGACGGGGGTACCTTGA